TGCATTTTATTGCAATTACTGTACGCCTGGTTGAGACGTCCAAACGGTACGCGAGAAAGTGCGAAGCATGACAGCGAAAATCAACGAGAGAACGCAAAATTGTAATCCTGCCATGATGGTGATCTTTGCATCGCGGTTCTAGACATTTTATTGTATCTTCAAACAATTACTGTTACTCAAAGCACACAACGGTAGGATCATGAGAGTGAGAATAACCACTAAAAAACGCTGAAAAAAATCGCAATGATCGCTAAGTGACAATTTTGGGCCCAACATAATTGAGCAATTGTGTATCCCCTAGGTCGTGCTAGGTAATCTAGGCTTTTGTAGAACTTTTTGATTAGGTACTGACACTGAACTAATCATAATAAAATATGTCCCATGATTAGAAATTGAATATATATTCAACCCCTTTTCAAGCTGCATTTGCTGTTGGTATGTCAACGATGGTCGGTTTTTTTCGTGGCTTGCATTTTGTATGGAGGCCTATTGGGAGATACGAGCGATACAATTTCATGTATGAGTATCATGAAGCAATGTCTCCCATTATTGGCTTAGATCAATAAAATGTTCAACCATAGCAGGTTTCTTCTGAGGGAAAATTAGACAATGCGGTACTTGGCCAGTTTCGGAAAAAACGCACATGAGATGGATTCAAAGTGTGGCAGTAAGGCACGAATGTGAATTCTCCAGGCAGACGTGGGGGAGAGAGGGGGCTCTGGGGAGTCTCCCCAGCCAAATTTTTACAAAGTTTCGAATGTCTTGGACTGGCATTTGAGGCACGCGCAGAAAATAAAATTTCACCTTTTAGTTTAAATAGCCTTACTATGTTAGGGCAGACCTACAAGTCTACGACGCTGCGCCATGTTCGCGGAGACTCGCCATCTGGACTCATTCTCCCGCACTCCCGTATGATGCCCTAACGCATTCTCACGCATTCACGCAAAAGAAGCAAAAGCAGCCGCGCGTCCCACCGCTTTTTACCCACGTCGCTTGCTGTACACATCGTGGCTCGTCGCTTTCTGGCTGTGCAGGCGAATCGAGGCGAGGAAAAACGCTGCGCAACTCGGGAATGACACGAGGAGTTGCCGGCACGCAAAAAGAAACGTTGGGCTGTAAATTTATTACGATTTTTCCATGTTCTAGTCAGAGAGCACGTGGTGTCAGTGATCTATTTATTTTTTTGATTGACACTATTTTGAAACGCGGTGTAAATACAGGACATTTTCACCAACGGGTTGTTAGATTGACAACGGCGGTGCGCACACAGCAGTGCCTCCAATGTTAAGAAGAAACCCGCATGGGTTATAATACACTGACGCTAAAATGTAAGAAAAGACATCACTGGCTCTATAGAAGTTTACATGCAGCGTGCAACACGTGCTTTCGTTCTTCAGTATTAGCCACCCGTGAGACTGCTGATGCACCCATGGGCAGCATGCGTAAGAGTGTTGACAGAGGCATGCTGCGAAGGCGTTCTGCCTCAGTGAGAAAGGGAGTGAATTCACGAAAAACAAATGGTAATATATAATTAATAATAAATCTGTGTGTCACAGAAGTAGCGCAATGTACTGCATTTGAAGTATGTCTACATGTGCCCGTAACAATAGAGTCAATAGCATGGCAGCTGCATCATGAAAATAAAGCAATCGTGTAAAGTTGCGTGCCTTGCATGCAAGTGTACGTTCAGCGTTAGAGCTCCTTACAAGTATCAGCTCTGGCTTCGTAATGAAGGAGCTAGGCCGGAAGCAGGAGTGTTAATAGAATTATAATGAGAGTAGCATGGAAGAGATCGAGGCAATGGTACTGACAACCGTTGGCGAGATGTGTAATCCATTGCTACTCCTTGAATTGTATCGGTAGGTATTTCTTGATTAAACTTGCATTTATGTGGACTCTTATACAGACGACTACCAGGATATTAACAGGCGATTCGTGATTCCATTGCAAGTCTCTTGGCTTTAGGGACACTGAAGAGTTCTCAGAAGGTGTGGCCAGATGCTGTCAAAATTCATTAAGTAGTGTATGATAACTTGCATACTAGAGATTGTCATTATATTTAGTGATGGGGAAGAAGAATGAGAATAGTTTGTGGTGACATACTTTAGGATAAAGGAGTTGTACTAACACTGATCAGAAATCAGCATCACAACGAAAGTGTTTAGGACATTTTCCTAACTGTGATCTGTCTATGTTGCACAAGTTAATCTTATACTAAATTTGTACTTGCTATTGCATAAAAGTCTTACAAACAAATCTGCAGACAATCTTGATTCAGAAGTACTATTACAAATTCAAATTTTTGATAGCCCAGAAGCAGCGAGTGATCATAAATTTTTTATAGGCTGTATTCAATTCCAAAACTGATACAATTTTCTTTACATGTTATTGTTATTTGCAGTAGTTGGGCAAGTCCACCCAGAAATAAACCATGTATTTCTGTGGCTACACAGGTTTACTTGTATGCCTAGCAACTATTTAAAGAACTTCGGCACGATTTGTGTGTTATTTAGTCAATTAACTTCCCTATAAATCTTTACGACAAAGGATATGAACGGTTCGTTTGCGATTATAATACGTAAACTTCATTGTGCAGTTGGCACACAGAACAATTCGTCCATGTCTTAACACTACAACGCATGGCTCACTAGTTAGCGATATCTAAACTCTTATTTTACCATGATGTAAATATTAAAGGTAATATAATTGCCAATAGTTTGTAATATTTCTAGGTTAAATATTGCTAGACTAATTTCATCTCAATTTTATTAGCTCAACTGAATAAGTCAGCTGACAGCTTGTAGAATCGCAGGAGCGTGCAACGGATTGTCCGTCCCGCCGTGCGTCCCGTCCAAGCAGTTGGGCAGCAGAATTTAACACTCGACGTTCACCGGTCACGATATTCGCACATCGGGGGGAGCGTCAAACGAAGTGAGATGTCCGAAGCTGGGGGTCAAAGGATCAAAGGTCAAAGCAGTGTAAAGAGAGGGGAACATTGCACGTCCCTTAGAGTTAAGGCTACTAGTGGATGGAAATGCAGAATTGGCGGCACCAATCTAAATGGCTTCGACCTAGGCTCGTGATATGCCGTGTATAGGCATCATGGATAGTGGAAAAGCCATCACTGGTGCCGAAATGGGAGGTCACCAGGTCAAAGTGCAATGGGCACAAGGGCAGTATTTTAAGACAGTTTTCTGAATGACATGGCGGACGGAGCGCGATAGAAAAATCTTTTTTGTCTTCAGCAGTGACTAGCCATTTTTTATCGCTTTAATTGCAAAAAAACAAAAGAACAAAGAACAAAAAAAAAAAAAAAAAAAAAAAATAAACAAAAAAAAAAAAAAAAAAAACAAAAGCACACACATGACCATAAAATTTACTTTCCGCTGCCAGCCAAGAGTAAAGTCCGAACCTATTTTGACCCTCAAGGAGGGAGCGTTAAACATAGGATTTGTGGACTGTTAAACAAAGCGACTAACTCTTTTGCTTACGTGTGGATTCGAGGCCTACAGTTGCACAGTTCAATTGCCAAAGCAAATGTTTGTTGCAACAAGGTTACGCTATCTTAAATCATATTATTTTTCTAAAAGCCAGTTACGCTAGCACCCTGAGTAGCACCCTGTATTAGCACACTGTAATGAACCCTGAATGCTCGCGTGGGTAGGCAAAAACATGGAGGCAGCCCATTACGCATGCATGGGGGTGAACTGGCACTATTCTAATCATAATTATTGCCTGGCAACCTGTAATGCAGATGTGTTAACTCACAGCTGAGCGAAATTTTCGCCTGCCTGAATATACTTGGATTTCAGCAACTCAATGGAGTGAGGTTATTACGCACGAAGGGTGATGCCATCTTTGATTATTGATGACACTTGCACGCGCTATCTCGCGGCAACTGCTTTTGCTATTAGAGCCCCCTCCACCCGGCCCCTCCCCCCACCTCTCCCCCCACCACCACCACTACGCTCGCGCTCGGCGCATATCCATGATAACATGTTAATATAGCGAAGTCATTAAAGTTACACAGCTGTATCTCTATTACTGTACTACCGGTATAGCAAAGCCTAGCTATCATAGATTTTAGATCTGTATTAGTAGTATCCTAGATATGCTGTGAGCGCGAACGAAGCGGTGGCGGGAGGTCGCACTTGATTCGGTTGCCAGTGAGTTTATCAGAAGAATACCCGGCTACAGTACACGTCAGTTGAGCGCTGTCGCTCTGCGGCACGTGTTGTTATTGCAGTAAACAATTCTAGTTGTAATTATCTGAAATTCACACTGTTAAATTCTTGTGTCTTTAGTTGTTAATTTCTCTCCTTTTATTGAAACTAATAATAACAAGTAGAGGAAATCGATCATAAAAAAATCCTGTCTGGTCAAGTTTACAATAAATTAATGTGAAGAAACACATTCTCATTTAGCAATAATTACCCCTTGATGACAGCATGAACAAAATTCATCTACAATATCTTGTAGCACGAGAGGATAATACTTACTGCAATATTGAGTATTTTCTATTAAGTATAAGATATTAAGTGTGACGGTGCTTACTTTTAATAATTTGAACAAATTTAATAATGAAGACGTGTGTACTCGTGAAACAGTCGGATATATTATTCAATCGTGGAAGATTCACATTGCCATGAACACGCCGCCATTTGCATTGTTTACAAAAACATAAGCGCCTCTATAGCGGGCGATATAAAAAAGAAAATGCGGACTCAGGCGGAATGCCGCAACATTAAGTATTATCCTCTCTTGCGTTTTGTGGTTCAACCAGTGTGATTTAGCATACTTTGGATATATTTAACTGTATCTGTAATGTATGTTTATGGGTTGCTGCAGCAGAGGAGGTGACATGCTGTGTGTAGGTGTAGCAGACGAAACTACTGCACATGTTCAGCGGCTGATAATGAGGCAGAAGAGCAAGAAGAAGCCGGCCATTAGTGGGAAAAATCGTTATAGAACTGTAAGTAAATCGCCTGACACTGTACCTATCTTATTTATGGTGCGAATGTCTTGTAGTAGCAGGGTTCACACAGGTACGTGGGAGATATTAAAATTATAAATGGATTAGAGTTTGGTATTATACATACATGTGTAGTGCATACAGCAGGCATTTAATTAGTGAGTGCATATCGTACAGTAGCCCAATTGTAGCTCGTATACAGTATTTGCCAATGTATTGGCTGGTTGACATCCTAGTATGGCACCCAATGAACATTGATGTGTTTGTAACACTGATATTGGTGTCAATGGGAGCCATATTGATATGGCGGATAGAGAATGATGGTGAGAGCTAGTGGACAAACTAGGCTTATATTCTATACGAAAACCTGTTTACTTTTCCACTAATTCGATTTGCTGGAGAAGTGATTTGTATCGAGGGAAGGCTTGAATAAAAATAGCTAACCTATGTCTTTGTCATAGGGCTTAATAATAGGTACAGATATAAAAAAAATATAAAAAATTGTATAGAGTTTTTTCTCTTTTTAGCCTGCTCATACAAGGAAACCAACACAAACTTGGGGAAGGCCTACGTCATTCGTCGAAACCCGTCGGACACCTTGTGTTTCTAGACCCTTTACCCAAAAGCCTATTGCTACTCATGCAGTTTCAAGGGTATTTACAATTTAGTCTTGAGATCTACCTTTATCTCTATTCAGTATTCATACAATTAGAACCAGTAGTTCATGTATTTATCAAAACAATACACAAAATACAAGCAGCACCTCATAAAAATTAAACAATAAAAAATTACAACACAATGAAAAGTTTTAAAATTAGTTATCATGACAAGATGTAAATATGTTTACTAAGTTTATGACCATTTCACACTTTTAAATCAACAGATACAGGTTTAAGTAATTTGATGTATAATTGATCAAATAATTTTCAGTTGTTTTTACTTTTTTGTTACAGGTCATAATAAATGATATGTCACTCCCACAGTCTCGGAAATATGCAGGGCCACAGAATCTTCCACCTCGCTTACTAAGGCAGCAGCAGCAGCAGCAACAGCAGCAACAACTACAACAGAAGCAGCAGCAGCAGCAGCAGCAACACCAACAAAATCATCAGCAATATCAACTGCAGCAGCAGCAACAACAGCAACAAAATCATCAGCAATATCAATTGCAGCAGCAGCAACAACAGCAACAAAATGATCAGCAATATCAACTGCAGCATCAACAACAACAACAACAACAACAACAACTAATGCCAAAGCCTGTCCAAATAAGTGAGTATTAGCCAAAAAAGTTGGTTCTGTCCTCCAAACCAAGGGTTGTTGTTATACCACGCCTAATATAATCATCAAAGCTGCTTTCCTGCTGTAAATCTGAATAAAGTTATCATAGTGTAGTGAAGATTACAAAGACTATTCAGTTTTGTTCTGCCAACGTTTCTGTTATGTTTAACTATTGTGCATTTAGGTATTTATTCGTGCACATGTTCATGTAGTAATATCTCTTTTATTACAGAGGTGGATACGTTCGTTGAGAAACTTCAGTACCATGCTCGGCTATACAAATTGGCTTTGACATTTAGCAGTATTCCTGCTGGCAAGAAAGGTACTCGTATTTGTAAATATATTTACGGTCCAAAATTACAATTTTTGTGTGTGGCAAAAGGTGTCGGATGGTTATTGGCTGATATTATTGAAATTGGTTAAGATGTATCCATTAGGCGAGTTTCATATTTTTAGCTCATCTGACGTAGTCAGATGCAGCTTGTAGAATCGCATGATTGTCCGTCCGTCCGGCCGTCCGGCCGTCCGTCCGTGCGTCAACAGCTGGGCACAAATCTTAACCGCTCGCCGTACGATCACGATATTCGGGACGTCGGGGGGATCGTGAAAACGACTCGGGATGAGAGATTTGAGGGTCAAAGGTCAAGATGTGTAAACGGAGGGGGAATATTTCCCCCTTAACTTAAGGTATAGGAGGAAATACGGAATTGCGGCACAAATCTTACTGGCTCGACCTATGCTTTTAATATTCGGTGTATAGTGTGATGGGCAGGAAACCCATCACCAATGCGAAATTGGAGGTCACAGGTCAAAGGGCAGTGGGGGAAAGGTCAGATATCAGACATTTTCTGAGGACATGGCCTAATGGACAGAGTGAAAAACTTTTTTGTTTTAGCGCTGACCTACCATTTTTATCACTTTATTGAAAGGACCATGAAATGTCCCTTCTGCTGACATGCGAAGAGTAAGTGTCGGATAACCTTTTGACCCTCAAGAGGAGGGTTAAACATGGATTCCTGAACTGCCTCAATGATGTCACAGTGTTCTCATATTCATGGCACATCCATAATCTAGAAAGCCAATATGTCTGGATAGCCCAACGGGTACTGCACATGATTACGGCTCAAAGGTCCTTGGATCGAATCCCATCAGATTTTTTATTATTTACCTGTTTTCTGTATTTTGCTATCTTTATCCATTTAACTATTTTTTTCTCCAATTAACGCAAATATTTACAGCACGAGGCAACCAATGGGATTTGGGAGGTATACAGAATGCAGAAGGTGCTGAAATGATGTGTACGCAACTGCGTATCTGCATATCTGCGCCTAACAAAGGTGTCACTATGCACGACTTAATTGTTACGTTTATTACCGTAGCAACAGACCTCAGATGAGCCCAGACGCTCTGCGGCTCTTGTTATTTTCGTTTGGCCATGTATTGATACCACAATCAATTATTTGTGTTTTCATAGGTTTATCTTGATTGATATATGTTCTGAAATAGCAAAAATGGAGATTGTATATACTAAATATGAACACTGAACAAAATGCTTCAGACTAGAATATTAAAATTTGAACTCGTAATTATGCATTCTTCACATGCGTATATAGTGATACTCCTATCAATTAAGGATAAACTCAGGGTTGTAGGTGAAATTTAGTCAAAATTTCAATACTCACTTTATTTGATAGATGGTACCTCTGGGCAGCTATGTATGTAGGTTATTATGTATGTCATCTCCCAAACAGTTCAAAATCCTGCGCATGCCTACCTGGCTGTCCAAGCCTCGGCTCGCCCTTTAAAGTGATTACGTCACCATAAATAGTAAAAGAAAGAAAAAATCACACTTTTATACCAAATGTATGTAATTCTGTTCGCTTTTTAGCTCATCTGACATAGTCAGATGCAGCTTGTAGAATCGCTTGATCGTCCGTCCGTCCGTCCGTGCGTCCGTCCGTCCGTGCGTCCGTCCGGCCGTCCGTCCGTGCGTCAACAGTTGGGCACAAATCTTAACCGCTCGACGTACGGTCACGATATTCGGGTCGTTGGGGGGGATCGTCAAAACGAG